TGCCCCCCTTCCTGCTGAAGGAGGGCGGGGATGACCGGCTGCACTCGGCCGAGCAGGACGCCGATGACGAGGCCGCCGACGACACAGACGACAGCAGCTCGGTGACCTCCTCCGCCAGCTCCACCACCTCCTCCCAGAGCGGCAGTGGCGCAGGTCGCAGGAAGAGCATCCCCTTGTCCATCAAGAACTTAAAGCGGAAACACAAGCGGAAGAAGAATAAGATCAGTCGTGACTTCAGGCCAGGGGACAGGTGAACTCAGGGGCGCCTCCCTTTCCCGGCCGGGTGTCCAGCCTGAGACCCTCCTGTCCTGCCCCCGCCCTGCTCCCACACGCATGCACACCCAGGCTCACGTGCATGTGGGTGCGCTGGTGGTCTGCAGGCCCCATGAAGGCTCAGGGGTGCCCAGCCGAGATGACGTGGGTGCCTGGGCTTGGCCGGGTGGGAAGGAGGGATCTGGGAGTGGGAGAGGATGGGACGGGGGCCCCTTCCTGGAGGAGATTCCCCGGTGGGGAGACTGTTTCTTCCCTGCTGCCTGATGCTCAGGGTTTCAGGTTACCAAGCCCGCGAGGCGGGGCGGTGGGTAGAGAGCGTAGCTGCCCTTTCCTCACTGGTCCTGCCCTGCAGGGTGGCGGTGGAGGTGGTGACCACGATGACCTCAGCAGACGTGATGTGGCAGGACGGCTCCGTGGAGTGCAACGTCCGCTCCAACGACCTCTTCCCTGTGCACCACCTGGACAACAACGAGTTCTGCCCTGGAGACTTCGTGGTGGACAAGCGAGGTAGAGCCGGGTGGGGCTTGGGAAGAAGGGGCAAGAGGTCTGGGCATCGAGGACACTCCCCTTGGACGCTGGCTCACCCTTCTGAAGACTCGGGGAGCCTTTCTGGCCTGCACTGACCGAGCCAGGGAAGCAGTGGGTTCTGGGCCCTGTTGTGGTTGACGTGCAGTGGGTGGGTGGCAGGTGGCACCGCCAGGGCGCCTTAGCTAGTCATGCGCCCCCGCCCCCCCCTCCCCACTGGGTCCCCAGTCCAGAGCTGTCCGGACCCTGCTGTCTACGGCGTGGTGCAGTCTGGGGACCACGTGGGCCGCACCTGCATGGTGAAATGGTTCAAGCTGCGGCCGAGTGGGGACGACGTGGAGGTGAGCGGGTGCTGCCCCCACGTCTCCTTCAGGGTGGGCTCTGGTGGGCTGGATGTAGGGCCCCTGGGCTCACGACCAGCCATCCTTCCCCAGCTGATTGGAGAGGAGGAAGATGTGAGCGTCTACGACATTGCCGATCACCCTGACTTTCGGTTCCGCACGACCGATATTGTTATCCGAATTGGCAACACTGAGGATGGAGGGCCTCACAGGGAGGATGAGGTACGAGCGCCCTGGCCTGTGTCAGCTGCAGTACCTGATGGTGCCACCAGGTGGCACCAGGAGCCGAGACCTGCAAGTCCTTTGGGCTGCGTGTCCGCCCCAAGCGCCTTCCCCAGGAGAGCGGCTGCCGGCAGTGGGGCTGCTCAGTCCGAACACCTGCACGAGGACTGACCTGCCTGCCGGGCTCAGGCCTCGTTCACACAGCTGCTCCCTGGGCCTATTAGAGAAGCCCATTCCTGTCCTCCGTGCCACGAGCGTGGTGTCAGGTGCTACAGGAGCACAGGAGAGGCCTGGGGAGGTGGCCTCTGAGCTGGGCCCTGGAGCCCAAGTGGGGACACGGGGTGGGGTTGGGCAGATTCCAGACAGAGGAAGAGTGGGGACGAGAGTCCCGAGGCTGGAAGCCCGGAGAGACCAGGGTGCTGTGAGCGGGAAGGGAGTGGGTGGGGGGCTCAGTGGACGGCAAGCATTGGGGGTGTTTCAACCAAAGGGTCCCATGCTCGAGTTACTCACGGTGGTCTCTGGCTGGTGCCCACATCCCTTCTGTTCTCATGGCCTTGCCCCTGCCCTCACCCTTGGGGAGCTGCACCTTTGACCCTGTCCCATTTGCCCTGCAGCCGTCAGTTGGCCAGGTGGCCCGCGTGGACATCAGCAGCAAGGTGGAGGTGGTGTGGGCTGATAACTCAAAGACCATCATCCTGCCCCAGGTGAGCCCCTGCAGAGCCTCCTCGCGGCTCCAGACCGTGGCAGCCGGGCCGGGAGCTCAGATCTTCCTGGCCAGGGAGTCTGCTTTGGGGGAGGAAGGTCTCAGGGAAAGGAAAGGCAGTGTTACACGCAGAGCCCCGGGGTGAGAGAGTCAGGAAAGCAGAGAGGCAGCCTACAGCTGGATTGCCAGTCGTGTGTAGATTTTCTCAGACCTCCCAGATCTGCCTGGATCCCCATCCACTGTGCTAAGAAAACACAGGTTGCTTCCTTTAAGAAACAGAGCCTTCGCACCAACACTTCTAGGAAAACTTTCACAGATCAGGGAGAGAAAGCAGATGGGTTCTGAGCGGCAGGGCTGTTTTTGACGCTGTTTCTTCACTCCCTTGTTTGAGCTGATGCTCACACCCCAGCTGCCCTCTCCTGGCACCAACGTGGGGTGGGGAAAGGGCTCACCCCTCGTCCAGGAGGCCATTCCAGGGGCAGGAACAGGCTGTGACACGGCCCTGCTGACCAAGTGCACTCAGTGGCCAGGAGGCTGGAACAGGCCTTGGCTGGGCCTTGGGCCCATGGGTGGGGCTGGGGCAGCAGAGATGCCTCTCAGGGGCCTAGGGCCCACCAAGCACAGAGGCCCAGCTGCGGAGGCCAGAGCAGGAAAGGGAGGAAGGGTGGCGTGGCTGCCAAGGCCTCAGGGCGCCATCAGCTCTGAGGGTTGGGGTCTGGGCAGAGCGCCCCTGAATGGCCCGCGCCCCGTCTCCCCCCACCAGCACCTGTACAACATCGAGTCTGAGATCGAGGAGTCAGACTATGACTCGGTAGAAGGCAGCACCAGTGGGGCGTCCTCGGATGAGTGGGAGGATGACAGTGACAGCTGGGAGACGGACAATGGGCTGGTGGAGGACGAGCACCCCAAGATAGAGGAGCCCCCCATCCCAGCCGCCGAGCAGCCAGCGGCCCCTGAGGAGGACAAGGGAGTGGTGATCAGCGAGGAGGCTGCCACGGCCGCCATCCAGGGAGCCGTGGCCATGGCCACCCCTGTGGCTGGGCTGATGGAGAAGGCTGGCAAGGATGGGCCCCCGAAGAGCTTCCGGGAGTTGAAAGAGGCCATCAAGATCCTGGAGAGCCTCAAGAACATGACCGTGGAGCAGCTTCTGACAGGCTCGCCCACCTCCCCCACGGCGGAGCCGGAGAAGCCGACGCGGGAAAAGAAGTTTCTGGACGACATCAAGAAGCTGCAGGAAAACCTCAGGAAGACCCTGGACAACGTGGCCATCGCAGAGGAGGAGAAGATGGAGGCGGTGCCGGACACCGAGCGCAAGGAGGACAGGCCCGAGGCGCAGTCGCCCGTGAAGGCCGAGTGGCCCAGCGAGACCCCGGTGCTCTGCCAGCAGTGCGGCGGCAAGCCCGGGGTCACCTTCACCAGCGCCAAGGGCGAGGTCTTCTCGGTGCTGGAGTTCGCGCCCTGTGAGTTCGCCCCGTGTGGGCTCCAGATCTGGAGGCCAGGTGGCTGGCCCCTGGCTGCCGCCCAGGGCGGGGGAGCCGTTTCCCTGGCCTGGGCACCGGTCCCCATGCCAGGAGAGGAGGGCAGGGAGCATGTGGGTTCATCCACCTGTCGGGGGAGCGCTCCCAGCGGCCGCTGCACCTCCAGGTGGAGTTCCCAGGCCTCACCCTGAGGAACTGACCACTCTCTTTCCCCCTCTAGCAAATCACTCTTTTAAGAAAATTGAGTTCCAGCCTCCAGAAGCCAAGAAGTTCTTCAGCACGGTGCGGAAGGAGATGGCCCTGCTGGCTACCTCGCTGCCCGACGGCATCATGGTCAAGACCTTCGAGGACAGAATGGCAAGTAGCCGGGTGCGGCCGTGCTGTGTGGGCGCCTGGTGCGGGCCGGGCCTGGGGACCCCCGGGCGCCCGAGAGGCTGCAGCCGCGGCGACTCCTTACAGGGCAAGACAGGCTCCGCCGGGGGAGCCACACGGCTGGCAAGAGTCCCACGCGTGTGTCTAGACCAGATGGTCGTCCTTTTAAAAGTTAGCTTAAGATTGTAATGATCATCTGACTCTTCTCTCGTTTTTTGAAAAATTAGAACATTGTAGAAAAAGTCGTAGTTGCCTTTGACCAATCCTCACCCTGCCCCCGCGGGCCATGACTTCAGGAGTTTCATGGGTCTCCTTCTAGGTGACCTGCTTCTGTGTTTACATGTTCGTGCGTCTCCATAAACCAGACTCTCTTGTAGGATTTGTTCTATACGAATAGCCCATCGTCATACACATCACCTATAACTTTTTTTTTTTCAGTCAACAGGGTAATTTTTGAGACCTACCCATGTTGATTCACACTGATGTAGGTCATTGCTTTTTAGCTACAGGACAGTACAGCCTCCCGTGGCCACGTCACACTCCATTTGCCACTTCTCTGTGACCTGGGCCCCCTGTTTTGAGTCATGCTGGTGGAGGCGTGTGAGCGCCTCCTTGTTTGTTCCAGAAATGAGTGAGCGTGGTCCATCTGCCACCTTATTTGTTCAGCAGACCTTCACTGGGCCTTGCTGTGTGCCAGGCACCATGCGAGACACTGAATTTGGGTCCGAGTGAGGCCTCAGCTCCAGCCCAGGCCTGGAGGAAGGGGCCAGAGGAAAGGGACCACAAAGAGAGGCACTGTTGAAATGGGCCTGCAGGCGGCCAGAAACCCCAGGGCAGGGCCAGGAGCGCGTGCGTGGTTAGGGCTGCTCCAGGTTCTTGATGATGCTTTTAGTTTTCCTTGGGTTTTAGTAAAATTCCTTTTGAAAATTCCAGCCCATCTCAGCTCTGCCGATGGAAGAACTCTTTTGTTCACTTTCTACCCAAATCTCACTCAGAGGGAAAGGGAAATCGTGTGTTATCTTGAGGCCCACAGCGTGGCTCCAGTCCCAAGTACACGAGAGGATTCCGTCACTCCAGCTCATCCTTGGCCCTAGCCGGCTCTCAGCTTGTTGCTCACCCGGCACGTTGCCCTGGCGATGGTCCCCCCTACCCCGACAGTCAGTGTGGATCTCTGGTGTCTGTGGAGAGTCTCCTTGATGACTTACAGCCTGAGTTTCTAGTGGTCTCCCAGCATTTTCCCCGACTTCAGTTCCTCTCATCCTCCTAGTCCCCTAAAAGCAAGTGCAGCCTTGCCATCCTGGAATGTTCTTTCATCTTCTGATGGGTTGTAATTGTTGCTTGCTTCACTGGGGGGGTGGGGGTGGGGGTGGTGCTGTTTGGAGGAATTCAACTTACAAGTGATGACTTATAAGGAAAAAAACCTGGTAGGATACAGACTGGCTTAGAAAATTCTTTTTGTGCCAGGAGTTAAAAGATGCCAAGCAGGTCTGTGCAGAGATGTTTGCGTTTAGCTTCTCTGTTGCTGGCAGTGTCTGGAGTCCCAGGGGGCTGCTCCTGCTGGAGCCGCACAGCGCCCTGGAAAAGATCACATCCAGCTGCCCCGTGTGGAAGCCCCATCGCCAACCTCATCCTTCCCTCCCTCCCTCCCCCTCTAGGACCTCTTCTCGGCCCTAATCAAGGGCCCCACTCGCACCCCCTACGAGGACGGCCTCTACCTGTTTGACATCCAGCTCCCCAACATCTACCCAGCTGTGCCCCCCCACTTCTGCTACCTCTCCCAGTGCAGTGGCCGTCTGAACCCCAACCTGTATGACAATGGGAAGGTGTGCGTCAGCCTCCTGGGCACCTGGATTGGAAAGGTGGGTACGGTGCCGGCACCTGGTCAGCACTGGGGGAGGCCAGTCTGGACAGGTGTCTGGGACAGAGTTGATCGATGGCACTGTGTGTGTGTTTTAGGGGACAGAGAGGTGGACGAGCAAATCCAGCCTTCTCCAGGTGCTCATCTCCATCCAAGGTACGGTGGGCGGGGCCAGGGGTGGTGACAGGGCTGCTGGAGGGCACAGTGACTCTGGCTTTTGCGTCCCCCACCTCCTGTCTGTAGCTCTGGCCTCCTCTCGGGGGTTGAGATCGGGCGGGCCTGATGGGCTTCTCCTCCCGCAGGTCTAATCCTGGTGAATGAACCGTACTACAACGAAGCCGGCTTTGACAGCGACCGCGGCCTACAGGAGGGCTATGAGAACAGTCGCTGCTACAACGAGATGGCGCTCATCCGCGTGGTGCAGTCCATGACCCAGCTGGTGCGGCGGCCGCCCGAGGTCTTCGAGCAGGAGATCCGGCAGCACTTTGGTACTGGCGGCTGGCGGCTGGTGAACCGCATTGAGTCCTGGCTGGAAACCCACGCCCTGCTGGAGAGGGCCCAAGCGCTGCCCAACGGGCTTCCCAAGGACAGTAGCTCGCCAGAGCCGCCAGCTGTGGCCGAGCTCTCAGACTACGGCCGAGAAGAACCTGAGGACGGAGGGCTGGCCCCTGGAGAGGCCTCCCAGGGCTCAGACTCGGAGGGTGGCGCGCAGGGCCCGGCCTCAGCCAGCAGGGACCGCACAGACCAGACTTCGGAGGCAGCGCCTGACGCCTCAGTGCCACCCAGTGTCAAACCAAAGAAGCGGAGAAAGAGCTACCGGAGCTTCTTGCCTGAGAAGAGTGGCTACCCTGACATCGGCTTCCCCCTCTTCCCGCTTTCTAAGGGTTTCATCAAGAGCATCCGGGGGGTCCTGATGCACTTCCGGGCTGCTCTGATGGAGGCGGGCATGCCCGAGAGCCTGGAGGACAAGTAGTCAGCCAGCCCTGGAGGAAGGAGCGTCGCCGCGGGGAGAGGCCAGCTGCTGCCTGCTCACTCCCTCCCCTGGAACCTCCCCTCTTCCCTTTCCTCCTCTGTCCCCAGTGCAAGCCCCACCCATTGCCCTTTTCTTCCCAAGGTGAGTTTGATGCTGAAGTGCAGGACGTTTCTTGAGATGCTGCATTTCCAGCAAGCGGGATCCCCGTGGCAAAGAAAATCTGAACCCTGTTGCTGATTTTCCACCTGTCACCCCAGGCAGGGTGTCCCAGCACTTCCTCCCTCGCCATCTCCACCTCAGGTCGGAGGTGGGCCTTTCGTGGGGGCTGACGCGGGGGAACTCGGGGCCCAGGTGTGTGCGGACCCGCGGGACCGGACCCGTGGGACGAGTGGACGTGCCTTGCATGAAGTGTGGGTTGCTCCAGCGGTTCCCCGGTCCCCTTTGTCCTCTTCAGTCCCACTGTAGCTTCCTAGTGTCCCAGGCCCTCCTGCTGCCACCACCAACCGCCTCCTCCCTCATCTCCCAGTACCAACACTCTCCCTTGGGAGTTGTAGCTGCCGTCACACACAGAGCAGACTCCTGGCTCTGCTCTGGCCCATTTACGCAGGAGAGCCTTCAGGCCTGTTGAACTCACTCTCTAAGAGAGGTTGGGACCAGGCTGGGTTCAGGGTGACCCCTAGGAGAGGTGGTGGCCCTCACACACTGACATGGAGTGAGGACCAGGGAGCTGCTGGGAAAGAAACAGCTGTAGGTGCCTTGCTCTTCCTGTCCCACGGGGCCTTGCGGGGCCTTGCACATCTGCTCCCCCGCTCAGCCCCATCCCAGGGCCCCGGGAGGCAGCAGCACAGACAAGGCCAGGGCAAGTGCCAGGGCCCCTCCTGTAGACTGTGCCCCTCCCACTATCAAATGCTAACGCTGGGAGGCGGCATATAGCTCCCTGAACACAGCGAGCCAGCCATCTCTCTCCCGGAGGATGAGAGCGAGGCCTGTCAGCCCTTCACTTACAAGCTGCAGGCTCAATGTGGGAGAGAGGCGGCCGGCAGGCTTCTCCCTCGCAGAGACGGGCCCAGAGGTTTACAAGTTTTCTAAGCGTTTGATAATGTGAAGCTCCAGTTGAATAGGATGCTGTTGAGCACATTGCAGCTGTGTAATTTTGGTGTATGTATGTAATATTTAAGATTGAAAGAAAATAAATCTCAAAAGCAAAGATATCAACTCTTACTAGGAAAAAAAAAAAGACAAAATAAGAAGCCAAAGCATGATGCGTCTTGTCCGCCTTACGCTGGATCCACACCTGCGCTGCCTCACCCGCGCGGGCGGCCGGCAGCAGCGCGGGGAAGGGCAGGGCCAGAGCCGGTGTCTTGTTCGAGGATCACCCGGGGTGACTGCCGCCGGGGCTGTGCTTCCCGGTGCGTTGTTCGTGTGGAGATGTGAATGCCTACTGCTTAAGATACCTGTATAAAGTGCGGTGTGATTAAACTTTTTTTTTACTTGCATTTTTTTTTGGTTTGGCTCATTACAATGTACAAAAAAGACAAGGTGGCACCATTAAACCTGCCTCTGCCATCCATCCGGCTCTGTTGCCTTTCTTCCCCTTGGGGGCACCTCACACACCCTCCCCAGGGGAAGGAAAAATCCCTATTGCTGGGGAGGCTCGAGGCAGCGGCACCTTCCCCTCCCGGCCTGCTTCTGCGCCTCCGCGTCTCCCGTCCGGGGGGACTCACGGGGGCCGGGAGATGAGGGTCTAGGAGTTCAGCGGGTCGGTGCTCTCGCCTCTGAGCAGGGCCCGTGTCCTGTCCCTCAAGAGCCACCTTTCGGCAGTGCGTCAGCCGTAGCCGTGGCCCCCGGGGGCCCGTGACTGACCAGTTGCACCGGTTCAGCTCCTTCCAGATGCTGGGGGAGCTGACTTGGCAGCACCTGGCCTGGGCTTGAAGCCAAAAGGGTTCCCCGCTTGGAACGGGTAGCATCTGCCCCTCCCTGCTGCTTCCTTTTAACCCCTGCCCACCACTCCCCCACAAGGACGGGCTGGAGGAGGGCAGGGGAGGCTGAGGGAGCCCTAGATTCCTCCAGCCACCTGCCATCTTGACCTCTGTTGCTCCTTGCCAGTTTTCCTCAGTGCGCCTAACTCGGAGGCATTTTCTCTTTTCGCTGAGACCCGCTGGCCGTGTGGCCCTAGGTAAGACATACTCGCTCTGAGCCTCAGTCTTCCCGCTTGTGCGAAGAGGCAGTTGGCTCCAGGCCAGATGTGGCATAATCATCACTGGGGCAGGGCCCCACCCCTACAAAAGCAGCCGGGACCCGCTCCGATCCTGTGCCCACCACCAAAATGACTCCCCAGAGGCCAATACCATGTGCACTGCCCCATCCAGGAGGGACCATTGGGCATCATGTTAAATTCTAGAGGCCTGGAAGAAGCAAGACCCCACTCTCCCCAACCCCTAGGATAAGACCAGTAGGCTGGGAATGTTGCTTTATTTGGATTTGATTCAGGGGGTGGGGCTCCCAAAACAAAACACGGTGGCCTCCACGCTCCTAGCCCAGCACCTCATCCTGGCCTTTGGTGGGCAGAGCCATCCTTCCCAGCCTTCTCCAGGAGTCTTCCTCCTCCTCCCGGCCGGCCACGTGAGCTGTGGACAGGCCCTCCGGTCCCTGGGGTGGGAGGGAGGGGCCTAAGCTCAGAGTAAACCAAGCAGACAGGCTAAGGCACCGCAAGGCCCGCGGAGTCATAAGTGCTCCGCTGGAGGTGGCCTCTGGCTGGGCGAGGCCTGTGGCTCCAGAGGGGGTGGGGACTCCCTGCAGCCACTGACCATCCAGAAGAAGTGTGGGTGCACCTGGCCCTGCACAGCCTCGCTGATCATCAGTTCCCCGTCCACAGCAAACACACCCTGCGCGTCCTTGGGTTCCAGGCGGAAAGCAACCACGGGCACGTACACCAAGTGGGGACAGTCACACTCCATGTGCCTGCCTTTCTCCATGGCCAGAAAGAGGCGCAGCAGCGTGGCCCGAGACACACCTGCCCGCACATAGAACAAGTGCATAGTGCCGGCCGCGCCGCGGCCCATGGGCGCAGCAAACATCTCACTGCCCAGGTGTGAGTGCAGCAGTGCCAGCACCAGCACAAAGTCCTGCTCCGGCACCACTGTCCAGTGAGAGGGCACTGCCTCCTCCAGGGGCACCAGGTGGGCGTCCACAGGGCCCTGCTGGGCCTGCTGGGCCCGAGCGGGGCAGGGGGGCATCTTGGAGACCACCGTTTCTACAGGGAGGTAGGCCAGGGAGCCCTGGTAGGTGCGCAGGGCCGCCAGGCGCAGGAAGGTGCCCAGAGTGAAGCGCATCTCACCCAGGCGCCGAAACTTCTCACTCTCCAGATCCACGTCAGCGATGAAACCCCAAGCCAGGCTGAGCACGGAGAAGAGGCGCTGCCCGGAGGCCGTCTGCAGGGACAGCAGATCCATGGGCGCCAGCAGCCGGCGGCACAGCAGCCGGGTGCAGTTGGTCAGGAGGTCTTCATTAGTCACCTGCTCGTAGCTGCAGAGGGAGAAGTCAGATGGGGAGGGCAGGAGCCCTCACACGTCCTCCCCTTCCTCCTCCTGGGGAGTTGGGGCGGGCGAAGTGACACTGAGTCCCTAGGGAGTTGGCAGGAGTGACAGATGGAGCAGGTGGAGGCAGCAGCTGGAGTCACGGAGAGGGCCCCCCAGACGGAGGGGCCGACGCTCCAGAGAAGAGGGCGTGGAAGTTAGCCCTGCGCATGGTAACTTACAAAAGAAAGCCTGGCAGTAGGGCGGCACTGAGGGGAAACTGAGGGCCACTGTGGCCCTGGGCTCTCACCCGGCATAATGGTTCACAGAAGCGGCCAGTGCATTGCCAGAGCCGGCTGGGAGGCTACACAGGGGCTTCTGGATGGCGGTCTCCCAGTCAGGCCGCTCCATGAGCCCGTTCACCACCTGTTGGAGCGCAGGTGGCCTCAGCCTGGGAAGCACCCCACCCCCACGACCCAGGCCCAGCCTCCCGGTGCGGGCCTCACCTCATGCATCAACCCGTCTCCAGACATGACCACCAGCGCGTCCCAACGTCCCAGGTCCTCCGCCCGCACCAGCTCCCGGGCGTGGTTCCGCCGCTCTGCGGAGAGACCAGCGCGGCTATCACGGCGGGGGCTGGGGTGGGGTCCCTGGCTGGGGATGCTCCCTGCACCCCCGCGGGGAGACACTCACCAGTGAGCGTCAGCGTGAAGGAGACATCGGCCTGGGCCAGCAGGGGCTGCACGTGGCTCCGGAAGAGCTGCAGGGCTTTGCCCTTGCCCCCGCGCGGATTTAACAGCACCAGCACTCGGCAGGGCCTTGGGAGCGGGTTCCGGGAGCCGCCCGCTGTAAAGACAAACCCGGACCGGCCACTAGGGGGCAGACGATCACAGCAGGGGCACTGGGGTGGAAATGCTGTGCGTGAAACCCAGGAGTAACTGATCCAACAGTCCGACCAGAGGCAGGGGCCTCCAGTGGTGGGGAGCTCCAGCGGCAGCCCCGCGCTCCTCACCCGGCCAGCTTGGCTTGGCTCAGGCTCGGCCCGCTTCCGGTCTCGTCGGGAAAAGTGCTTCTCTCGGGCGTCCCCAGCCTCTTTTTCGTTCAGCTGACTCGGGCCAACCTTCCTCTCGAGGGAGAGAAGGGATCCCCCTACAGGCCTTCCCCGCCAGGCCCCCACAAACCTGCATCCATAACCTCGACCCGTGGCCCCCGCTGCCAGGGGGTCCCCGGCGCTGTCGGGGCGCTGTCCGCGGCGGCGGCTCCTGCCTTCAGCTCCTTATCGGTGCTGCCCAGGCGGGCGTCTTGGTGCCGGCTGTGGGGCTCGCCCTCCCCGCCCGGAGCCGGGGCTGTAGGGGCACCCGTGTCATTCCCTGCGGTTGCCGGATCTGGGGGAGAGGAGACAGCGCTGGTGGAGTCCGCAGCGGCCCCCTGAGGTGGGGGGCGCCCTGCTAGGTCCTGGGACCACGCGCGGGGGGCCGCGCCTCCGGCATCGCCTAGTTTTCCGAGAGGTCCTGAGAGCCGAGGTCCAGTGCCACCAAGGGCGCTCCCGTCCTAGAACTGAGCTCCCACCCCCAGAGGTAAAGGGTCTCTTCCTGAGGGGCTTTCTTTCCTGGGGCCTCGGGTTCCGGCCCGACGATGAGTCAGAGCCCCGTGGCTCTCTCCGGGGGATCAGGTCCTCACCCCCTGGGCGCTGCCAGGGGGAGGGGAGTCCAGTTGCGTGAAAATCCCAGAACGTGAGTGGACATCGCAGGGCGCGAAGTTCGGGGCGAACGATCCCCGCCCCGAAACAGCCGGGTCGCCATGTCCTCTACCCTGAGCTCCGGAGCGGCCGGAGTCGCCGCGCGCGCCTCTAAGGACCAGGCTCTGCGGCGCCGCGCGCAGCGCTCGTGGGAGTAGCGCCGGAGTCGCGCAAGAGCTGAGCCGGAGCCCGGCCGCCAGCCGCCGCCTCCCTCGGCCGCAGCCGAGTGGGCGCGGAGGCCATGCGGTGCACGGCAGTTCCCCCGACCGCCCAGGAGCCACGCACGACGAGAGGACAGGGCGGGCGGCCAGCCCTACCCAGTCGGTCCGCTTTGCTGGGGAAGCGCCACCTCCGTTCCCCACAGTGGCCTAGGGCAGAACGCAGCTCGTCCCGGGCTCAGCCTCGCATCTGAGGGACAAGTGGAGCGCCGGGCAAATGCTGACTGCACGGCCTCGCTGTCTCCAGCCTCAAACTTTTGTCTCAACTTCGGGGAGGGACCTGTGCCTCGCCCCCGGGCCTGGCCACGCCCCGCGCTCCCCGCGTTTGCGGGGGAGGACCCCGCGCCCGGCACAGCTGGAGCCCGCCTGTCCCCGGCCTCACCGCGCCGCCCCCCGCACGGTCAGCGCCACGGCTCGACCACGCGCAGCCCTTTGGCTGGGTCCTGGGACGCTGGGAGTAGGCGACAGGCGGAAGGCAGCGCCGCGGCCCGGCAGGAGAGGTGGAGGCCGTTGGCGAGGCGCGGAGCCCCAGGCCCGGCCACGAGCGGCGCGCCGCGAGCGCAGCGTCCCGGGCGCGCGAGGGTGAACGCGCAGCGCAGGCCCAGGCGCGGGCCTCACGCGATCTCGCCTCGGCGCCCAAAGTCGGAGCGGCCCCCGGGTGGGACTCCGGGCACGCGTGGCTCAGGGCTCCGGGCAGACCCTCGGCTGTCCCTGGACGCTGCGACCTTCCGCCGCGGAGTCTCCTGGCAGAACTGGCCCCGCTGCCGGCTCCGGGCAAGCAGCGCCCGCTTCGCGCGCCCCGCCCCCTCCCATCCCACCCCACCCCACCCGGATTTCGAGGCCCAGACCCCGCCGGGTGCCCCCCGCTCCGTGCCGGGGCGTCTCTCCAGCCGCTCCAGTTCTCCCCCAGAGAGTTATTTTTAGCCTCCCGACCAAGCAGCTCTGCAGCGCAGCCACCGAGCCTGAGGCAGCCAGGCGAGCGGTCCCGGGGAAGGCTGGCGACCTGCGCGGGGGGATGCAGTCCAGGAGGAGGGATCCTTGTCAAGAACCTCAAAAGTTGGATCCTTTTCACAGAGGACAACATCGAGGCTCGCCTGGGCCAGAGAAGCTGCTCCGCAGTGGGCGATCCAGGCCCACGCACCCGAGAGGAGCTTGGCGGTGTAAACAGGCCTAGGGGTCCCCATCCGCATTGGGCAGCCAAGCATCGGGGGCGTGTCCTCCGCCGCCTCCACTGGCTCAGTGGGAAGATGCAAACGGGCCCGGGACTCGTGTACCGGTGCTTGTGTGATAAACATATCACCGGCAAGTAAGTGTCTGACCTGAACTTGTCCGCGACCAACTCGAGTAAAGTCCCTGGGGGGTTGTTGGCGGCGACCCAGAGGAGGAAGTTACCAAGGCGGACTTGGCGACCTGACCAGGTAGGGCCAAAGTTAGGAAAAACCAAACCGCTGTAGGAGGCTGAGGTGGTACAGGCCCAGGCTGCAAAGTGCTCACGCGCCCACACCTGCCCCCACCGACACCCGCTCACAACTCTCTCTTCCCATCGCCTCAAGTCGAGCAGAGGCAGGTCTCTGCGGCCCCGGTAACTCGGGCGCGCCTCCTCCGCATCTCCTCTTACAGAGGACCCAGGCGGCCCGGCCCCGTTTCCCAACACCTGGGAGGGGAGGAGGGCGGGGCCCAGGTGTCCCCACGTAGAGGGGAGGCGCAGGCTGGGGCGCGTTGGCCTGGCACGCGTCCGGGTGGTGGCCACCTCCGTCCTGCGTGTCCCCCGGGCAGCCCTGGCTGGGTCCTGAGCGTCCCGAGCGTGTTCCGGGAAGGTGACTCAGCGACGCTTTCACGGGTCGAGAAACTATGCGAAACTAGGAACCGGGAGAGGAAGCGGGGGCGGGGCGGCATCGCCCTCGCGCGGGGCCCCGGCGGGTGTCCGCCGAGGTCTGATCTTGAACCTACAGGCCCGCACCCGCAACCCCCAGGAATCCGGCGCCAGGAGGGGAGGGCGGCGCTGCAGCCGCAGTGCCGCGGTCACGCGACGCGGGAGATCTCACGCGAGGAGGGGGCTCCTTTGCGGGAGCCGGGGCTCGATTCCTCTCCTCGCCCTTCGCCTGCCTTCTCCTCCTGCCAGGACTCCGGTCAAAGTCGGGGCTTTGGCGCCTAGAAGACGCGGGACGCGGTCGGGGTGCTCCCCGAGATCTCAGTCTTGGAGGGAGGGTGCTGCGGAGACCGCCCTCCCCCGCTCGGGAGGGCACTTCCATCAGTCCTGAAAAGCCGCTGCCTTAAACCTTGGAGTCTGGTGGGAAACTGAGGCCCTCGGGAAAGGAAGACCTGGCTGTGCACGAGTCCACAGGGAGAAAGCCCACCTGCCACTGGGTCCCTCCGCCTCCCAGCGCCCCGGGCTGGAGCCCCTGGGGTCGTGGGGCCGGACGTGGGCGGGGTTGACTGGAAACCGAGCGACGAGGGAGGCGGAGCAGCCTGCTGGGTTCATTATCCGGCCTCCGGGGGCCCAGCGGGAGGGAGGTGAAGGGCCGAGCCCTCTGGCCCCGGTTCCAGTCTGCACAATGGCTGCTCTGTCCTCCCAGCGGCCTCGCCCCCGCCCCCACCCCCAAGGTCCCTGCTCTGCCCTCCTCATTCTTGTCCGTCACCTCCCCCCTCCAGGCTGCCTCCCTCCAGGCCCACACCGCCCTCCAGCCCCTCTCTAAAGAGCTTTATTTCATCTCCAGAAACACTCATCAGCATCCCTGGCCCAAGAGACAAGATTGAGCAAACGCAAGATGCCTTGCCCCTTTGATAACGGGGAACTGAAACCCTGAGAGGTGAAGGGTCTCGCCTAAGCCACTGAACCAGTTCCCGACAGAGCTGAGAAGCAAACGCAGGTCCCAACCCCCAGGCTGAGAGGCCCAGCTGACCCCAGGCTTCTAGCTGATATCTGTATCTGTCGGCCGGGTGGGTTGCTTGCCACAGAGCTGCCCCAGTAACCCAGCTGCTCGGTCTCCCTGGGAAAGAGGACGCAACCCGAAGCCCTCTCCAGGCTTCATCATCTAGGTTCTGATTAAGCAACTAGCTGCTGTGGCCAAGGGCCTCTGGAGTCAGGCTTGATCTGTGCTGATCGCCAACCCACAGGCAACACCTGTCTCCCAGGTGAAAGAGACTGCCTTTCCGTCTCCCCCAGCCACCCTCCTTCCTCCTTGAGGGCAGCCTTCCCAGGTGGACACACCTGAGAACTCCCTTTTTTTTTCTAATTCAGAGAAAGAAAGCAGGCATTCACTGGGCCTGGCCCGGCTTTCTGGAAACTTGGAGCCAAGGCTGCCAGATCGCAAATGACTTGCTTTTATTAGGAGAGGCTTCCTGCCATCTCACCTGTTCCTGAGGTTTTCGGCTCCCAAGTTGAACTGGAGGACCTCGAGGCCTCCCTTGACCTCAAGTCCTTTCTGCCTGGGAGGCTGCAAGGGCAGGGGAAGGGAGGTATCCAGCCCTGCAAACTGTGTTGTGTTGTTGTTGTTTTAATGTATTTTTTTTGTTGGTTTGGTTTTGGTTGTTGTTGTTTTAGCCGCGCTGCACGGCATGTGGGATCTTAGCCCCCCCCCCCCCCCTTCGAACCCCTGTCCCCTGCATTGGAAGCGTGGAGTCTTAACCACCGGACCGCAGTTTGCAGGGATGTCCTGCAAACTGTTTTTAAGACTTGTGTTCTGGGACAGCCCCAGATGTGGTTTTCCATTCTGAGATCCTGGTGACCGTGCCAGGCATTGAGGGTGGCTGGCTGGGCGTGGAGGAGTGTGCCACACATGGACATCCAGAAGAGCAGACTGGTCACACAAGATTCTTGGCTGCTTGCAGGGAACGTTCCGAGTTTCTGACTCTGCGGCGGGTTGGAGTGAGCCTGACTCTACCTCTTGGCGTGGCCTGCTCCTCCTCACAGGTGTCCTCACCAGGGCTGGGAACCAAAGTCTCTTCTGGGCCTCTGGGCTCTGCCTGCCACACACCCCCACCTGCAGGCCTGCTGAGAGGGACACATTCCTTTCAGGGAAATTTGCGGGCACAGCCCTCCCCGTGGAAGCCTGCGAGCCTCATCCACTTCACTCATTTCAGCTGCTTTCCTGGCATCTGAAGGCATTTGTATTAGTTTCCTGGGATCATCACAACAGGGTACCACAAACTGGGTGGCTTAACAGAAATTTGCTGTGTCACTGTTCTCAAGAAATCCAAGATTAAGATGTTGGTAGGGTCGGTTCCTTTTGAGGGCTGTGAGGGGGAGTCTGTTCCAGGCTGCTCTCCTAGCTTCTGGTGGTTGGCTGGCAAACTCTGCTGTTCCTTGACCTGTACACGCATCACCCAGACTGCCCTTATCATCACATGGCCCTCTTCCCTTGTGAAAGATCTGGCTGAGATTTGTTCTTTTAGGGTCTGCATTCTCTTCTGTTGGGCATGTTCTTTTTCTAAAGCAAATTACTCTGGGAGGGAAAACCAATAAGTTATTAGGACTCTAGTGTGAATGGAAGTATCCATTTTAAACTAAAAAAATCTAACAATACTAGGTGTCCCCAAAGAGTGCACGCTCGTGTGGGTGTCGCAGGAAAGGTGTCTGGCAGCTGGACCTGCCCGTCTCTGCTGGTGGGAGGAATTGTTTATATCTGCGCTGGCTGCCGGGTGGCTTTGCCCAGGCTTGCACACTGCCCCGGCTACCTTGACTTTGAGATCTTACCTCACACCTTGGCTTATGGCATCTCTGGCATCCTGAGCAGATGCGTTTATTCCCCAGCCCTCGGAAGAACAAAGCTGAGTTTTGTGTTAGCGT